GCATAATATTTTGCTCAATGCGCCCTCTTGTGGCCTCAGGAGAGAAGCTAAAAACTTTTTTCCTCCTAACTTAAATTATGTCTTTTAAATTCGAATATAATTCGAATATTGATAATATTTAAGTAGAAAATTCGAACGTAGTTTTTCAGTCATTTTGACAGCCCAAATGTCCACACGTACACGGACATTTTTATAAACAGTTTTTCCTTCTTCCATTTAAAAAAAAATCTCTGTCCACATGAAAACGCAAACACATGCTATGAAGCACTGTCAAGAGCATGCCAAACCAACAGGTGGCGATATAATCTCAACCGTAAAGCCATGTTGGCCAATCAGAAGCCTGAAAAAGCCTCCAGTAGGCGGAGATAACAGCACAAGCTCCGACGTCACAAGCCAAAAACTCCGGTTTCGCTTTCTACACGATAACACTGCAACCAGAGTTTCTGAAAATCTTCACCCTGGCAGGAGTTTTCAAAAATGTTCGGTTTCAGTGACCTGGTGCTGCGCTTGCGTGTGGACGAACAGCCAAACCGTGTAGAAAAAGCTGTGGTTTTGAAAACACCCGCATTCGTGAAGACAGGGCCTAATTTACAGCAGCTTCGAACACGGCTCAACCAATCAGAATCAAGGACTGGAACTCTCCGTTTTATAATAATTTTTTTTTACTAGTATTACGATTGATTAAAATGTATAAATAACAGTGTAGTAAACATGGATACAATAATTTCATATGATAGGAAACAGAAAACTATAATATTTAAATACAATTAGATTGTATCAAATTTAAGGCCATAAAAAGTCTTAAATACCTTAAATTGTATCAGAAAAGTTTTCATTATAATTTCAAGAGGTCTTACATTTGGGGACGGAAAATCACGATATGGCTGGATTAAACCTGAAAAGGCTATAATTTCACTGAATAAATGGCCAATGAGCGCTGGACGTTTCAAAGTCAAGGACTGGAACTCTCCGTTTTATAAAAAACTGTAAAACATACAGTAGTCTGTGTGTTTGTACCTTTTTAGTCATGGTGGCCGAAAACAGGAAGGTGCGTCTGTCGCGAGGAATCACCTTCAGGATCTTATCCACCTGAAACACACACACACAGTTCAGATACTGTAACGACATTACTGAGCTCAAACCACACACACACTCACTCACTCACTCATACACACACACTCATACACACTCACTCACTCTCACACACACACATCAGGAAGAAGGGGGCCCAAATTTCTGTCTTGCATACCCCCTTAAAACTCTTCATGGCGCCCCTGAGAAAGCGTCACTGATCAATCAATCAGCAGCACAAACGGTGAACCGTATTCATCACAGCTGATCAACCGCTGACCGTTCCCCTCATTTCTGAGAGCTGTGTGTGTGTGTGTACCTCAGACTCAAAGTCCATGTTGAGAATGCGGTCAGCTTCGTCCATCACCAGATACTTGAGCGCTCGCAGGTTGAATCCTTTGGTGTTTTCCAGGTGATCGATCAAACGTCCCGGAGTCGCTGAGAGTCACAGAGAACGAATCACAATCTGAATCTGATTCAAATCACAGCACGACGACACTCGACACAGTAACGAGTCGTTTCTCTCCACTGAAGACTGAAGAGTGATGAGATAAGAAGAGAACAGAAGCTCTTACCGATCACCACGTGAGGCTTCTTAGCCAGAACCAGAGCCTGAGACATCATATCGATCCCCCCTACGACCACAGCTGGAACACACACACACACACACAGATATACACACACACACACACACTTACACTCACACACACTCTCACACACACACACACACACGTGAATCACACACACACAGAGATACACACACACACAGATATACACACACACACACACACTTACACTCACACACACTCTCACACACACACACACACACGTGAATCACACACACACAGAGATACACACACACACAGATATACACACACACACACACACTTACACTCACACACACTCTCACACACACACACACACACGTGAATCACACACACACAGAGATACACACACACACAGATATACACACACACACACACACTTACACTCACACACACTCTCACACACACACACACACACGTGAATCACACACACACAGAGATACACACACACACAGATATACACACACACACAAGTTTGTTTATACACACACATAAGTTACGAATTTCAAACACACACGAGAAACACCGGCGCTGATGTGAGTCACAACACCACTGAACCCTATCACTGTCTGCTGTTACTAACATCACGTGCAGTTGAGGTCAAAAGTTTACATACCCCTGCAGAATCTGCAAAATGTTAATTATTTTACCAAAATAAGAGGGATCATACAAAATGCATGTTATTGTTTAT